ACCATGACAACGTAATTGTTGGCCTCCATTGAGCTTTGCACTACATGTTAAGGAGATAAGCATGTACTGAAAGGAAGTTCAACAAGTTGTTGTCTCACCTCAACATTGACTTGAGCTCTAACAAGGAGGATATCTTAGACTAGCTTTTGTTGGTGCCAAAAGGGGGAGATTGATTAAGGTTTTTATTTGTTTTATTGTTTAAATTGTTTGAAGTTTCAAACTTTTGATTGCTCTAATTCATTCTAATTACTTTCTAAACAACGTGCTCTAAACCATATACATTATATTTGCTCTATTTTATGCAAGTTATATTCATCATATCATGCACATTTTTAAGGAGAGTCCCTTATACATTGCATAAAGCATCTAAGGTAGATTCATATAATCTAATCATATATGCTCTAACTCTAAAGTAGAAATATATGTTCTGATATATAGCATATGCTTTGATAATCTTCAATATACTTTAAACATGCTTAATAAGAAAGAGATACAACAAGCAGGCTATGTTATATCTATCTTATATGCTATATTTTAGCTCTAAAATATGAAGACTAGTTCTCATAGAATGTGTATGCTTACTTAGTTTAATATAATGGCTTAGTTTGTCTCAAACACTTTTTCAAATGATGATAGATCTAAGTAAATGCGAGACCGATATATGTCTTTAAAAGAATGTACTCATGAAACATTTATATAAAGAAGATGGGAGACTCAGAAAGAGTAAAACAACCTTTGTAAAGGATTCATATTCATTTTTTTTTTGTAAAAAACTCTATACTTAATCTGGTTGTATCACGCCTTGATAATAAGACGAAATAACAAGTGATTTCCTAACTTTGTGTTATTGTTTGAAACCTAAAGATGCTTAATTGCAAAGAATACTTGGTTATTGAAGCCTGGAGAGACTTTATTTTGAAAGAATACTTGGTTATTGAAACTTGGAGAGACTTCTTTGTTGAAAGAATAATTAGATAGTTGCTTGAAGAGTCAAGTTAAAGAATACTTAGGTTAAGCCAAAAATAGCTTATGAAAGAGTACTTCTATCTTTGTTAGATTGTGGAACATTGTGGAGAAAAGATAAACACTAGAAGGGGGTTGAATAGTGTATAAAAAATTTGCACGTTTTTTGTAGTGAAGTAGTAATGTTAGTTAGATGAAGAGTGAAAAGTGATTAGATGAAATACTAGGTATTTTTATACTGGTTCATCTCAACCATCGATACTATGTCCAATTCTGGCTTAATCCTAAGTATTCTTTAACTTGTCTCTTCAAGCAACTACTCAAGTATTCTTTTAACAAAAAGTCTCTCTAGGCTTAACAACCAAGTACTTTTTTACAATCAAGCCTCTCCATGCTTAAAATAAGTATTCTTTTACAGATCAGCCTTATAATAATCTTTATGAAAGTTACACAAGTGTTGTCTTCATCTCACATAGACGTTATACAACCAATACAGAGCAATGATTGTTAACAAGAAAGAATAGATTTTCAAAGAATATATTTTTGTACAATGTATCTATATATGTTCATTCTTTCTTCTTTCTTGAGCTTTGAATCTTCTTATATAGTAGCTTGAAGAAGATGACTGTTGCAATACTTTGAGTTGAACTCACAAGTTTACTTCGTCTACCTTCATCATCTTTTCTTGTGATAGTAGGTGACCGTTTGACTTATTTAATATAAACATTAAATGCATTTCAGCAAATGATATCTCTTATCTAATCAAGGAAGCTACTTATTAACTTTCCATACTAAACAAAGCTTGTAGGCGCAATGTTAGTGCAAAGTAGTTGTAATAGTGACTTTATATGCTTTTCTTCCTGATTTTAAGGATCTTGGTTCTAACAGAAAGTATAATTCTTCTCTTTAACAGATTTATAAGTTCTAAGATGGCTTTTTGGTTCGATTTGTTAAGAAATGAAGCATTTAATGCAAACTTTGTCATTAGTCTTAATAAGTAATAAATATTTAATGTATATGAGATAGATTGTATGCTTCATTTTATTTACAACGTCTTATAGACGATTTATGTCTTACACTTCATCTGATAAGCTTTTCAAAGATATTCTTCAAAGAAATTTTTGTAAATATTTCTTCTTTATAAAAATATTTTGTTTGTTAACATTAAAACTATAAGTTCAAGGAATATAGATCGTTTTTTGATTTAACAATCTCTCTTTTTTTGATGGTGACAAACATGTTTTGTATTTTTTAAAATGACTATTTTACTTTGTACTTTGAAAAGTATTTTTCTTTGATAAGCCAAAGGGATTGTTATTTTTTTTTTTAAAAAGTTGTCATCTTTCAAAGTTATATTTATATTTTAAAAATGATTTTTTTATCCTTGAAAGAGAGTGAAAACTTTTTTAATGTTTCTTGGGACATTTTACTCAAAAATGCTGAAGCGATTTGAAAATATTTTTACCAAGTGATGTATGGCACATATCTAAGACGTTAGAGGATCGTTGCAAATCCTTGAGCATTTCTCACAAACTTGCCTTTTCTACCTTCATCTTCCTTCCTTATAAGAAGAGGTTTTTGTTGGTGCATTAATTGTGATCATTAAATATTTTTCACCAAATGATTACTTTTTATTTAACCAAGAAAGCTACTTATCACCTTTTTGGTACTGAACGAGAGGCACTATTGTGTGTGTCAGTCAGGAGTGACTTTTTCGAAGATTTCACATGCTTTGAGATATTTTCTTGTCCTTTCTTTGACGCAAAGCATGTTTTCATTCCTTTTTGAAGTGCGAGCATCGAAGAAGTTTTTTTTTTTATTTCTTTCGACCAATTAAGGAATATCATAGAGAAATATGATTTGATTATCAGACATCATAAATGATATATATCAAATGTATTCATATGTATTCATATTATAAACAAAGTGATTCATTTGAGAGACTATATGTCATCATAACCAATTGTCTATATTAGTTTATCTTATAATATAATATGAAAAACAACTAAGTTTGTTATCATTAAAACTTATATCCTTAGGGATCCAAGATCGTATTTTAATCTAACAAAAGGGAATGTCTAAGTTCATAGTTAATTGACAAGTAAAAAACATGGACAGCCAAATATTTGAAGCTATTCTACGTGAATTCTCAAAACTTTGAGAACATCTTATCTTCCTAATCATAAAATAAAACTGAAAGCGTATGTGTTTCAATAATTTTGTTAAGAAATTTAGATCAATCTGAAGGGTTATGAGAATAATACAAGCTTGATAGTCACAAAACTAGGAGATAATATTTAGTGGGGTTGCCTCCGATTTAGCTATAAACTAAATACACACAAAAAAAAGGAAAGAAGAGACACTCATAGTAAAACTTTAGATATTAGAAGGAAAAAACCATCAACATCATATTTTTAAAAGCATATTGTGAGAGTTTTTTTTCGTACCAATATAAAATAGTTATACTTAAGGAAAAGAAAGAAATAAATGTCAATTAGTTTTTTTTTTGTTTTCTTATTTTAATATTGATTTTGTTATTATGGTATGTGAACCTTGGTTCATATGTGTTGCTTACATGTTAAAAGTTCATTTGTCTTTATGATTGAAATTTACTTTTTATATAAATTATGAAGTCCATCAAAAATATAAATTGGAGATGAAATAGATACAAAAGTATAAGGATGTCAAAAAGTGGAGATTAAAAGGAAATTAAACAATTAGTAAACTCTTTATATATATATATATATAATGTTGTTGATTTTATTTAATGGGAGAAAATAATTATTCAACAATAGTTGTTATTATAAAAAATAATGTGTGGTGAAAGTCTTTGATTATAATGATAAATAGGGATAAAAATGTAAATATTTTAAATAAACAACTCAAAAAGTAAACGAGTCTTAAAAAAATTAAAAAGTAAAACATGCTATAACCTCTATATATATAGTATAAATTATTATGATAATGTATTTACATTTTTTTTCTTCTATTCTCCACTTTTCTAGTTTTTTAAACAAAACAATTATTCGAAACAAATGTTATGAATTTAATAATAAAAAATTATAATACTTATTAAACATAAATAACTATTTTATAAGTTATATCAAGAAAAATAATATACAAATCAATAACGACCCATACATATACATAAATTACTTACTAATTTACTAATAAAACTCCCTCCGAAAATAATTATAATATTAAGACGAATATCTTACTTTAGAAGTGAAATGACCTAATGCATTTTCTTCTTTAAGTTTGAATTCCTGAACTTATTGTGTCCTACGTCCATTTTTTTACTAATGATCCAATTCAAAGGATTAGGGATACAACCATAAGAATAACAGACAGATTCAAAGAATTAGGAATACAACCATAAAAAATTGAGTAAATAAATCATTAGTTGTACCGATTAATAATTTAACATTTTAAAAATACCATTTAGCAATTTTAAATAAATTGGAGATACAAGTGAATATAAAAGAGATGCGACATTTTTTTTTCCATCTGCCACAAAATTATTGGTTTTAGGTGACAATGATGTACCAATACATCTCCATATAGAATAAACGTGATCTTTAACTAGTGTTATAAGACTATAACTGAATTGGTCGGTCCAACTGGTTAACCCGCAAAATTATAAATATGTATTATGTACATGTTGAACACATCTCCTTCTAGTGTTTTGGAGAAGAATGAACCACTCACTAAACCATCGTCTTTCTATGAAAATTATGTGACAAAATTTATTTTTATAATATAACATTAATATAAAAAATATATTTAATAATATACTACTTCATATGACTTAACTAGTAATCTATGTACTTAGTACTTCGACCAAGTTAATTACCAGATATAACATTGATTTTATCTACTTATAAAATAAAATAAATTACATTAATGTATGTAATTAATCAAGCATTATAATCAATAACTTAATATGAAATAGTATAAATTATGTTGGGTTAAAAATATTTATCTCGAATATTCCATTTAAAATAATTCTGAAAACTAAATAAACATTTAACTGAAAATTAATTACTGCAAAAGAAGAAGAAAAAAAAGTTATTGATTAATGATTGGATCTCAAAAAACTACGAGAAGCGAGAACAAGGAGTAAATGAGAAAGCAAACGTAGGCAACAAGGCGGGGGTGTTCGTCCCAGCGGGCGACCTGTCCGAGGAGCTTGGTGCAGACCCTGGTGGACCAGGCGACGACGAGCAGCGCGGCGGCGGCGATGGCGAGGCCGCCCTGAGGGAGGAAGAGGGAGAGGGCGGAGAGCGTGACCATGGGCAGCATGCAGTAGCCAATGAGGCTGACGCAGCGGTAGAGATCGAGCGTGCCGTTGCGGCCGGCGAGCATGTTGAAGACCACGTAGAGGAAGAGCGCGGAGACCGTCACCCAGCCGAGGATGATGCCGAAGTGGATCTTCCCCGCCAGGAGCTGGAAGAGCCCGAACGACATCAGCAGCAGCACGGGGCCCGAGAGGTCCGCGTCGTCGTGGAGGTTGTTCGGGTTCCACACGCGCACCGGGTTCAGGATCGACGTCGTTTTCTGCCAGATTTGTTTCGTGTTGATGCCCAGCTCCTCCAGCAGCGGGGGCTCCTCCTCCAACGCGCTCGCCCCTGGGGGCGGGAACGACGACGTCGTTGCGGCGCCCACCTCGAACGACATGAACGGCAGCGGGGACGGCCCTTGCCCTTGCCCTTGCCGCGGCTGAAACGGCGCCGTTGCGCGACGCTGCACGGGGCCCGACGGGAAGATCACTGGGGGCACGCTGAATTCCTTCGCGCTCGACATTCTCCACTCCACAATGCAAATGCAAATGCAATTGCAAATTAATTCCGATTTTAACTGCTTTCTAGATTGGTGTGTGTTGAATCATTCTCAGAGTGTAGCAAATGGGATCAGCCAATTGCTTTCTTTTTCTTACTTAATTTTCTTCTTATGTAAGTTAAGGAATAACTAATTTAAGCCACACAAGTTTTTTATTTTTTATTTTTAAATACTTTTTATTGATTGAAAATCTATTACAAATCTCAATTTTTTTATCCCACGTCTCATTACTAAAATCTGTAATTTCTGATTTAATAATAATAATAATAAAATATTATCATAAAAAATTTGACAGAACCGTAGCAATGTTTAAGCGGTCTCATACATTAAGAACAAATATTTTCTTTTTTAAATTACATGAATTTTTTTTTAAATGAGTGTTACTACAACAACTTTATAAATTAAGATATTTTGATATAATTATTTTTAATATTTAATTACATGTTTCACATTCATATAACTCTTTTCTTTATATTTGAACCACTTTATATAACTCTTTTATATATATATATATATTTGAACCATTTTTTTGAATGACATATTAGTTATTAAATAGAAATGTAAAAGTATAATTTAAGACTTATAAAATATAAAATAAAATAATATTTATAATTTTAATTTGATCTAATAAGATAAGAGATTTAACTTTTATTTTATTTATTAACCCATTTTAAATACTCACAATATTTTTAATCAAGTATTTGATATAAATACAAAATTATAACATGACAAAAAGAAATTAATTATTATTAATTTAAAAATTGATAGTTAAAAATCTGTGGGTACTTTTTTTTTTTTTTTTTTTTTATTTTGGGGAAAA